ATCTAGCAGAGGATAGGGAGCATACCTCAGCGCCGCTGCGTACTGTCGGATGGACGAGCGCGTCCGCGGCGGCTGCAGGGATGTGGTCAAGTCTTCTTGACCGGATGGACGGCAGGGTGCTCTATGCTCAAGGAGGGAGCTTCCACCGCCACGATCCACGCCTGCATCAGATGGAGAACGGGACCACGAAATTCCACGGTGGCGAGGAGGAGAAGGGATCTCTGGGCAGCGTGGGGCGGAGCTCGCGGCGCGAAGGGGCGGCGGCGGCGGGAGGGCGGCGGCGGGCGTAGCGGCGGTGGCGCGAGGGAGGAGTGAGGAGTGAGGAGTGGGGAGTGGGGGTTGGGCCGGCCCGTGTCGGCCTTTAGGTTAAAGGCTTTGCCGAGTGCCAGATCGGCACTCGGCAAAGACGCCATCTTTGCCGAGAGCCGGCCACGTGGCACTCAGCAAAGAGCTGCCACGCAGAGGCTCAGGCTTCTTGCGCCTGCCGGGCCGCTCGCCTTTGCCGAGTGTGTGCTGCGTGGCGGCTTTCGGCAAAGGACCTACTTGCCGAAGTGCCACCCACGGCACTTTCGGCAAATTTATTTTTTTTTTTTTTTTTCCAATTTTTTTTGTGCGGTCTTGATCACCTGAATTACATCCCAACTTCAAAATTTGGGACAATTTGAGAAAGTTTATAGCAAGTTTAATTTTCATTTTTCTTTAACAACACACCTGTTTACAAGTTTCATTTTTCAACTTCCTTTCCATTTTATATAATTTAAAAACACTTTTCCCGAAATAATGGAATTTGTTACGACAAAAAACATGGTCGAATGATGTTAGTATATGTTGAGGCCGTCCGGGACCTCGGATACGACCATGCCTCAACATACTTTTTTAACATCATGAATACCATTTTTTGAATAAACAAATTCCATTATTTCATGTACCTGCAGTTCAAATTTGGAATTGTCGAAAAAATTCAACGAACCAAAAATAATTAAAGAAATATAGCACACAAACTCAAAATTGTCCCAAATTTTGAAGTTGAGATGTAATTACTGTATCAAGACCGCACAAAAAAGATTGGAAGAAAAAAAACAAAAAAAAATATTAATTTGCCGAATGCCAGGGGTGGCACTCGGCAAAAGGGTCCTTTGCCGAGAGCCGGCCACGTGGCACTCGGCAAAGGCTGTCGCCCTGGCCGACCCTAATCCTACCACGTGACAGGCCTTTGCCGAGTGCTTGGCACTCGGCAAAGGTGGCTCCTTTGCCGAGTGCCTAACGGCGAGGCACTCGGCAAAAGGGACAGCCATGGATGCCGTTTGTCCAGGCCCCCCTTTGCCGAGTGCCTCTCTTTACCGAGTGCCAGGCACTCGGCAAAAATCACCTTTGCCGAGTGCTTCTGTTTACATAGTGCCAGACACTCGACAAAGAGATCTTTGCCGAGTGCTTGGTCTAGCACTCGGCAAAGAACCTCTTTGCCAAGTGCCCGTGGTTTGCCACTCGGCAAAGCTTGAGGCACTCGGCAAAGGCACTGTTTCCCATAGTGGTCCACCTATCTCCTCATCCCCCCTACCGGGGGACCGCGTCACGGGTGCACAGCGCCAACAGTGCCTCACCGACAAGGCAGAGCTCGCACGCCTTGACGTCGAGCTAGCGTGCCCATCTAGATGCCGAACACAAACGGCTCAATGAGGCCGAACATGCCCTTTGTGCCTAGCTAGTAGCAGGCACTCGAAGACATCACGCTTCACGCCCAGACTGGCTGTTCTCAACACCCGTACCCTCGTCCTTAACGTGCTTGTTGATTCCGGCATGCCAAAGTACACCAAGTGGCGTGGCCTTTCCTCCTCAGCGTCGGTAAGTATGCCCTCTCCCAGGCACCTCACACCATGCACCCGAACGTCCCCAGGCTAGTGTTGTATGGATTGCACGCGGTCCTTGGCTAGCTTTATGGCACCATCTTCGCCGGTCTTGTCGAGATATATCGTCATGACTCCAACGAGGACAACGCAACCTAGGCCACATCCCACATGACATTGGACTGTGGTAATATCGTTTCCCACCCCACTCCTTCCTTTTTCGTCCATCATAGTGGGCAATATATGGTTCCTTTCTTCCCCTTAGGGCGTCCCCAACAGAAAAAGCAAATCGCCGGTCAATTTGAAAGCTGAAACAATAAAAAAAAAGAGAGAGAGAAGCTGGGGCGTAGCAGCGCAGCCGAGACAGAGCCTGAGAGAGGAAATTTACTCGAACTTCGTGCGAGACTAGCGACTGAGAACTCGCTAGCTCGTTGCTCTCCCTCTCCAGCGGCCAATCGGATTTCAGTACAGCAGCTACAGCTAGCGTTTTGGGCACCGTTGGGGACGCCCTTAGGGCATCCTCAGCGGCCCCGTTGACTTCGACGGTTGATATGGACATGACTTGTGGACCCATACATCAAAATTGGTTAATACAATCATTTTTCTCCATCAGTGGCTTTCGATTGGCCGCCAGGGTAAAAAAGTTACATGCATCCATCACGTATTGGCTTCCACCTGCTCTGCGCTAGCACCGAACAAATTGATAACGATTTAATTTTGCCCGTTCTAACCCTCCACGTTAGTCCGAGCTTGCTCCCAAAGCTACTCAGCCAGCAACGTCGATGAGTGTTGGGGATGCCCTTACCTTTGTTGGCTCCACTGTCCTTCCTGCTCCTCACGATCAATTTTATCTTTGAAATGTTCTTATCGCTCATATTATCAAGAAAATAATTTTTGTTAGACATTTTAGTATTGACAATAATTGTTTTTTTAGTTTGGTTCATATGATCTTTTTTGTGAAGAATTTTCATACTCAGAGCTTGATCGCCAAGTGTAATAGTTCCGCTCACCACTATCTATTATATTATTGACATGCCACCTATACAATGAGGCACAAGCTCTCGTCGCCATCACACCTTCCCTTTGGCATTGTCGTCTCAAACACGTTGGCTCCGAGCCCTCTCCAAACTTGCTAGCTCTTCAGCTATTTCGTGTAACAATGACACTGTTAGTCCATTGATAGGACAGAGTTGACATGTGTATCCAGGCATACTGGAAACAACCTCGACCACCGTTCGATATTGTGTTCGCCTATGAATTTTTTCCCATACTCAGAATATTCAGATTTGTTGTGTTTTTAGGCATATTGAACCAGTAGCACCATTAAATTCATGAATCAATGAAATTAAACTAGTTGTTGTAGCCTTTGGACTAGTAGCGCCATTAAATCTTCATGTACACTAGTGGAAGGGGCGCGCCCTCGCGCGCCGCATCAGTCAGCTAATCGTGTTGGGCCCTGGAGTGGTGGAGACTGAATCCACAAACAGTATTGTAGTTAATAATCTGGAAACCACGTGTAGCTAAAGAATCATTAGAGGACATGGACACGTGAATCATAAGTACGAAGAACCATTAGAGGACATCTAGTATATTACATTTGTCCGGGTAGGTTCAACTGGTCTTTGAGCCCTCAGAGAAACAAGCATCTAGGTTCTTCATAGTACTACATGATTCCACTTGTAGCTAAGGAACGATAGTTTAAGGTAGAATAGCCTGTCTAATTTACAGATAACAGGCCTAGGAATAGGTTTGTTCCTTGTTAGTACAACAAGATTTTTTTTTATTAAATCCATCTGACATCTTTCATGATCTAACAGACTTGACATGCGCAGGAATCATTGTCCATGCTGAGCTTGTGAAGCATAGTCATGCACATGTCACAAAATGGTGTAGCACATACTCTGTTGAGCGACAACACCTGGTTGCACAAAGAATTTGGTGGATCAATAGATGATAGATATACAATATGATTTGTACAGTGTAGGAAAGAGCCATTTGAATTTGTCAATTGCATGGGTGCGGTACATATCGGATATTTTGCATCTTCATTATATATAACCACTGACATAGGGTGTATCTGGAATTTAGCGGGAATGATATTGGTCCATGTATAAGTACAGGTATTTGTGTATCTATAACTAAGGAAAATGTAAGGTAAAATATTCTCAAGACATAAGATCTTACTAAATATTTTTGTGGGCATGCAGCCGACAAATAGGCCCACCACTACATTAGGAGCATCTTCATCTTCACTGTACAGGTGATCGACGGTGAAATTTGTTGCATGATCACCCCCGAGTTACCTTGAGCTCTGGAAAATGAGAGTGTGTTAGCTCAGATCATCGCTAATGAAAATGTTACAGTGCAGGCCTAACAGGCAGTATGGATACAGGACTTGCATTGTGTGTGTATACCTGACATCTTTGATGGAAACCTCTCTAAGGATACTTGCTTTTTCTTTACCCCTTGGAACTATAGATGATACCGATGTGTACTTTGTAATGTAGCCGAGAACTTCCGCGCAGAATTAGGTAAAGTTAATATTATTCCTTTCTTTTTCCATACTTCTTTTCTGTTTCTCTTTTCTTTTGAGAGGCTGCGAAAAAGCGTCAGCGAAATTTATATAACAGAGGACTAAATTTTTGGATTGTAAAAACTTGGTTGTGAACTTGCTGATGGAACCTTTGGACATGACTATTCTGTGGAACTTTAAAGGAATCTTATATCACCGCTACAGAAGGCATAAGTTAAAGTGGCCAAAATGGTAATGCTGGGGTTGTTTATAGGAATATAAAGTATAACTATACTTTTCCTGTGTTGCTGTGAGCAGAGAAACTCAGACGATCAATTATTGCTACTAAGTACTTGCTGTTGTATAGAGAGTTCTGTATAAGGGGGGAACAGAGAGGGGGTTAAATCCATACCCATTATTTCCAAAAGATAAATAGCAGTGTTGTTGAATCCCAATAGCTAAAAAAAAGATGTGAACCAAAGACACTAAAATACCGTGTACCATATAGACTAACATGGAGTTTAGAATAAAGCGACGTTACCTTGGTGGCCTCTTCTCGAGGCACTCTTCATTGAAGACTGCCTGGCTGACAGTGCTTTCTCAAATGGAACAGTCCCAGCCATGGTTCTAAGAATAAGACATGTTTAGTTGTTCCTGTGAAATCCATAGTCCAGATCAATCAATTTACAGAACGAAACATTGACATTATCCTGTCCATTTGGCAATAGCTTTGCCTGTAAATCACAGAAACGATCATATGCCATAGTGCAGGGAAAAAGATATTTATTTTCATCATCATTGGCATTCAAATATGATCGACATGTGACCATAAAAAAATTGAGTGTAAGGCAGCGCGAACAAACCAGTGCATGATATTACACGACCTACCTTGATCATTTGTCGGAAGCTTCCTGACACAAGGAATACATCAACATTCCTAGCTTTTAGCTTATTAACCAAATCAGCCATTCCAGGAGAAATTCTGCAGAGAAAGAAACAATTCTGTTGATAATTCTCTAAATGGACCAAGGAAATGGACAACGGTTGTTTGTAAGTAGAAACACAGCAGTCAATTCTGTTATAGTGCAGGCGAAACAAGGTTGATTAAACTATATCTTTGTTTTGCTGTATTTAAAGAAGGCCCCCTTAAAGAAATCTCATGACACCACTACAGAAGGCATAAGGTCAACTGGAGAAAATAATAATGATGGGGTTGTGTATACAAATTACAAATTTAACTACACTTTTCCTGTCTTACTGGGAAAAGAGAAACTCGGACGATCAATTATCACTACCAAGTATTTGCCGTTCTATAGAGATGTAGAGGCATCAGACTATCATTTTTCATCCAAGCACTGCCTAATCCAAGCATCGTTGTTTTCACATGATGTGGGGGCTCGAAGATATAACTATTTAGTAGGAACCTGCACATGGTTTCACCCTAGAACTATCTTCAGGAAAGAATTCAGTAAATGGCAGTCACATCTCTCCTTATTTTCACAACGAGGTGGCAACCTATGTGAATCTAGTATCTTACCTGATTATCTAACTGAAAGTCTAGTAAACCTAAACTGCCAGTTCACCAAGAACAAAATAAAGTAGGGAGTCCCAATAAAACATTCAGCATTAGCCAATTGTAGGTCACCCATAGACAATTATTTATGCATGAAGTTGAATATGACTAAGGTCTGTGAGCTAACAAGTGACAACAGTGAAGCAAAAATGTAGTCTCCATGCTGACTGAATTGATAAGCACTATATCGAATAAACTTTCAGACATGCAATTCCATAATATGGTTTAGTTGCATCACATCATTTAGATCTTTCCTGTGACCATTCACACATTAACCTTGATTAGAACCAAATTACTGTAAATTTCCGTCATTTAAATGTCAACAAAGGAGCAATAGCATACTCCCATGATAAATTCTGCATCATAATCATAATAAATCATCCTAAACTTACTTGCAACCGACCTGAAGTATCCCAATCGATAAAGAGAAGTCCTTCAGTTCTTGATGCTTAGAATGTCTGCAAGCAAATCAGAGGCTTTCAGCAATGTGCAAGGAAATTTATGGAATTGAGGTAGCAGTGGCAAACCAAAAACATATATCACCTTACACATGCCATAAACAAATCTCTAGCCAAAGGCCTTGCATTTATAACACCGAAAAAAAATTCCAAGGCACAACATTGCGAAGATGTTTCATGGTGTGGCGGCAGTTTGTAGTGGCTGATCAAATCAACAGCACCAGTGAGCTCCTTTGGCCCTGAAATACACAACAACAACAACAACAACAACAACAACAACAACAACAACAACAACAACAACAACAACAACAACAACAACAACAACAACAACAACAACAACAACAACAACAAAGCCTTTAAGTCCCAAACAAGTTGGGGTAGGCTAGAGTTGAAACCCAGCAGAAGCAATCAAGGTTCAGGCACGTGAATAGCTGTTTTCCAAGCACTCCTATCTAAGGCTAAGTCTTTGGATATATTCATTCCTTTCAAGTCTCATTTTCTTGCCTCTACCCAAGTCAACTTCGGTCTTCCTCTGCCTCTCTTCACGTTCCTATCCTGGCTTAGGATTCCACTACGCACCGGTGCCTCTGGAGGTCTCCGTTGCACATGTCCAAACCATCTCAACCGGTGTTGGACAAGCTTTTCTTCAATTGGTGCTACCCCTAATCTATCACGTATATCATCGTTCCGAACTCGATCCCTTCTTGTATGACCGCAAATCCAACGCAACATACGCATTTCCGCGACACTTAACTGTTGAACATGTCGTCTTTTCGTAGGCCAACATTCTGCACCATACAACATAGCAGGTCTAATCGCCGTCCTATAAAACTTGCCTTTTAGCTTCTGTGGTACCCTTTTGTCACATAGGACACCAGATGCTTGCCGCCACTTCATCCACCCTGCTTTGATTCTATGGCTAACATCTTCATCAATATCCCCGTCTCTCTGTAGCATTGATCCTAAATATCGAAAGGTATCCTTCCTAGGCACTACTTGACCTTCCAAACTAATATCTTTCTCCTCCCGAGTAGTAGTGCCGAAGTCACATCTCATATACTCAGTTTTAGTTCTACTGAGTCTAAAACCTTTGGACTCCAAAGTCTCCCGCCATAACTCCAGTTTCTGATTCACTCATGTCCGGCTTTCATCAACTAGTACTACATCGTCCGCGAAAAGCATACACCAAGGGATGTCCCCTTGTATGTCCCTTGTGACCTCATCCATCACTAAGGCTAACAAATAAGGGCTCAAAGCTAACCCTTGATGTAGTCCTATCCTAATCGGAAAGTCATCTATGTCTCCATCACTTGTTCGAACTCTAGTCACAACATTGTTGTACATGTCCTTAATGAGCCTGACGTACTTCGTTGGCACTTTATGTTTGTCCAAAGCCCACCACATAACATTCCTTGGTATTTTATCATAAGCCTTCTCCAAGTCAATAAAAACCATGTGTAGGTCCTTCTTCTTCTCCCTATACCGCTCCATAACTTGTCTTATTAAGAAAATGACCTCCATGGTTGACCTTCCGGACATGAAACCAAATTGGTTCATAGAGACCCGCGTTATTGCTCTCAAGCGATGCTCGATAACTCTCTCCCATAGCTTCATAGTATGGCTCATCAACTTAATTCCTCGGTAATTAGTACAACTTTGAATATCCCCTTTATTCTTATAGATCGGTACCAATATACTTCTCCACTCGTCAGGCATCTTGTTCGATCGAAAAATATGGTTGAACAGCTTGGTTAGCCATACTATAGCTATGTCCCCGAGGCATCTCCACACCTCGATTGGGATACCATCCGGTCCCATCGCCTTACCTCCTTTCATCCTTTTCAACGCCTCTCTGACCTCAGATTCTTAGATTCTCCGCACAAAGCTCCTATTGGTGTCATCAAAAGAGTCATCCAACTGAAAGGTTGTGTCCATATTCTCACCATTGAACAATTTTTCAAAATACTCTTGCCATCGATGTCGGATATCATCCTCCTACACCAAGAGATGCTCCCTTTCATCCTTAATGCACTTAACTTGGTTGAAGTCCCTTGTTTTTCTCTCACGAACTCTAGCCATCCTATAAATGTCTTTCTCTCCTTTCTTCGTACTCAAATGTTGGTAAAGATCCTCGTACGCTCTACCCTTTGCCACACTTACAGCTCGCTTTGCAGTCTTCTTTGCCACCTTATACTTCTCTATGTTGTCCACACTCCTGTCATGGTACAAGCGTCTATAGCATTCTTTCTTCTCCTTAATAGCCCTTTGGACTTCCTCGTTCCACCACCAAGTATCTTTAGCCTCGTCTCCACTTCCTTTGGTTACTCCACACACCTCTGAGGCCACCTTCTGAATGTTGGTTGCCATCTTCTCCCACATGTTGTTTATGTCCTCTTCTTCCTTCCAAGAGCTCTCTTTGATAACCCTTTCCTTGAATAACTCTGACGTCTCCCCTTTCAGTTTCCACCACTTTGTTCTTTCAATCTTAGCTTGTTTATCCCTACGGGCACGCACCTGAAAACGAAAGTCTACCACCAAAAGCTTATGTTGAGAAACAACACACTCCCCTAGTATCACCTTGCAATCCAAACATGCTCGTTTGTCCTTTCTTCTCGCAAGGACAAAGTCAATCTAGCTAAAGTGTTGTCCGCTACTGAAGGTCACTGGATGAGATTCTCTCTTTCTAAAGAAAGTGTTGGCTATCATCAGGTCAAAAGCTACCGCGAAGTCCAGAACTTCCTCCCCCTCCTGATTCCTACTACCATACCCAAAACCTCCATGAACTACCTCGAAACCTGCGCTTGTAGTACCTACATACCCATTAAGATCTCCTCCTATAAAAAGCTTCTCACTACTAGGTATAGCTCTAACCAGACCATCTAAGTCTTCCCAAAACTGTCTCTTAGCACTCTCGTCGAGGCCTACTTGGGGGCATACGCACTAATTACGTTCAAGACCATATCACCAACGACAAGCTTGACTAAGATAATCCTATCTCCTTGCCTTCTCACTCCCACCACACTATTCTTGAGGCTCTTATCAATCTAAACTCCTACTCCATTTCTATTCGCGACTGTCCCTGTGTACCAAAGCTTGAAACCTGTATTGTCCACCTCCTTCGCTTTCTGACCCTTCCATTTAGTCTCTTGAACGCATAATATATTTACACGCCTCCTACTCGCGGTATCAACTAATTCTCTTAACTTACCTGTAAGTGACCCTACATTCCAACTACCTAAACGGATCTTAGTTGGTTCGACTAGCTTCCTTACCCTTCGCACCCGTCGACTCAAATGCGAAGACCCTTGCTCATTTTTCACTACACCCGGGCGCCGATGTAGCGCGCCACTAAGGAAGCGACGACCCGATCCTTGATCACTTGACACCATGCCCAGATCACGACACGGTTTGTCACGGGGGTGACGACCCGACCCTTGCCCATTTAACACCATACCCGGGTTCCGATATGACGCGTCGCTAAGAGGGTTACGCCCCAACGATTTTCTTTCGGGTTTCATCTCCATTAAAGTGGCTAAATTTTTACATTGGCTCGCAACGCCTAACACAACCCTCCTCCTTTACCAGGGCTTGGGACCTGCTATGCTGGGACACCAAAGGCGCCCCACCATAGGCGGAGTTCACTGATATATCTATGAAGCAAAATTTAATCTAGCTTACAATAGACATTAGATGCAGTATTGCAGCAAATAAAGCAGCTTTGTGCACCATGTCACAAAATACTAACTGTCCAACTAACGCATTGTGAACTATGAATAAGTCAAAGCATGTGAGTTTTTTGCGCATTGTTAAAAGAACTGCAATAAATAGCTTGCAGGACATACTGGCTTAAGCTGGCAAAAGAATCAGCATATAATTATTACTAATTTCCCTTGATACTTGCTCAGTTAATAGAGTACTGAGAATAGGATATCATTCTGCTCTGGTTTTTATTTTTCCTTTTGGAGGATAAGGAATTACCTGAGGCACGTAAAAGTATAGCAGTTAGAATGCATAAAAGAACCTGCGTGCCAACCGAAATGTATTGCCATGAAGACATTAAAAATCACAGATGTATTAGGCAATTGCATGCTATAGCATATGTACAAGAGCTGCAGGCGAGGGAGAGGCCAGTTGCATCTGTATCGGCCGTCGTGCGCGGTCCGCGGCTCGTGACGCAACTAGGGTTTCGTAGAGCACAAGAACACACGCGAATTGGCAGAAGGAGGCAGCGGTGGGGGTGCCCGCGCCGCCGGCCACCGGTGGGGGTCGCGGTCGCCCCGCCCGTGCGGCGCGAGGGGGCGTGGAGGAGGAGAAGGACGGCCGCCGCCGCGCTGAGGGCCGGCGACCGCACCATCGCCCTGCCCGCGCTCGTGTTGGTAGAGATGGGGAGATAGGGAGGGGAAGAGTAGAGACTGTCGGGACTCACCAGCACAAAGAACGGAGGGGAAGGGGGCCGCCGGTGCGTCGCCCGCGGGGGCGCCGTCACCCTAGTCGCCGGCGCGTCGGGAGAGATCGAGAGAGAGGATGGGGAGAGATACGGTTCCTTTTTTTTAAGGAGAAGCGGAAGCTGATCTATATATTTGCTTCTATGGATTCAAAAGAGAAGCGGGGGAAGCAGAGGAGAAGCGGGAGAAGCCAAGGAGAAGCGGGAGAAGCCGTTCTCGACAGAATCTGGTCCAAGTGATCTGGGCCGCACGATCGAAGATCCAACGGCTCGAAATAATTAGGGTGACGTGGCGTCTGGTTCTCTTCGAGGAGTCGACGCATTCTTCAGAGGGGAAATTGCAGAGTCATTTAGAAATACGAAGAAGCACACAGGTAACTAAAGCTGAATATACATGAACAATAACAGAGAGAACCACACAATGAAAACATATAGTTAGCAAAACTAAGAACAGGCCTAATACCTAGTGCACACTTGTACCGAAGAAATGAGAAAGCTCTAGATATATTTGATACACAACTGATAGATAACCCTAGGCTCCTCATTACATAAGTTTTGAAAAGGATTTCAGATACATCGCATAGTGATTTCTAATGACAAGGAAGCAGAGTGCTAACTATGGATAGCCAAAAAAGGCCAAATACCTATCGCATATATGAGAAATCTCCTAGTAAAACTGTTGAGATATCCCTCAATGAACTCACCGTTTGTTCTTGGAGATTAGAATCCTATGTAGTAGGAGATGCACCGGCTCAATTGAAGTCCAATACTGATGGGTTCGTTGAGACAAACTTGACGAAGGCAAGATTCACCTGCAATGGTAGACCTATCGGGGATTCGTATAGGCATGATACGTCGGCCATAACTTGGAGGATTACAACATCATACGGATCGAAACAGGGAAGAGAACAAATGCATCAGAAAGGGGAAAGAGAAAGGATGATAACGAGCCAGATGTGGAACATGAACATGACTCCATCTTTATTTGCAGCACCTCCCTCTTTTGCCCATGTGAGCAGGGGCTTCGGAGGAGATCTCGACACCCGCAACCGAGGGATTTCATCAGTGCGACAGTTGGCAAGGCAAAGCAATCCTTTCCTTTAACTACGTCAGAATAGACAATCACTGCCAGGTCGGAAACCCCACTGCGGGATTTGGCTCCGGTAGTGGGCAATCGGCAGAAGGGCAGGCCTGGTAGAGTCTTACCGCCTATGATCGGAAGGTCCTGGGTTCGAGTCGTGGTCTCCTCGCATTGCACAAGCGAGGGTAAGGCTTGCCACTAACACCGTTCCCCAGACCCCGCACAGAGCGGAAGCTCTCTGCACTGGGTACGTCCTTTAGTGGGCAATCGGCAATGACCCATCATAAGAACCGGCAGTGAGACTCTCATCACTGTCAGATTTGGCTTCAGTATACTGCCTCCAGGTGTAGAACCGACAGCAATATGTGGTAAAAAAATCCAACCACTGGAGTGGGATTGGGCTTCACCAGTGGGCAATATTCAATGACTCATCACAAGAACCGGTAGTGAAACTCCCATCACTGTCGGATTTGGCTTCAGCACAATGCCTCCGGCTCTAGAACCAACAGCGATAAGTAATAAAAAACAAAAATTATGTGTTTCTTAGGATTTGAACTCAAGACCTCATCAACATTCATCAACATTCACATTCTCTTAAGCACACATACCAACTAAGCTATGCAACACATTGACAATGCAACTGAACCTATTCTTTTAACTACATAATTTTGAATCTTATATTGTATATTTAACCGTCCAAACAATCTTAAATGAAAAAGTTGTTAACAGTAAAGTTGTAGATCTCATCGAGTACTACAACTTTGATGTTAACTTTGTCACTATTAAACATTGTTAATCATCTCAAATCTGATCCGAAAAATTATATTGAATATTTGGACTTGTAAACCATTTCAATTAAAAATTCATCAACTACATTTTAGATCTTAACTCTCTAATTTTGATATAAAGTTTATCTTGGTCTGATCTCATATGAAAAGTAATGATTTTTTTATTCAAAACAACCTATCATTTGCGGTTGAAGCCACGACCCGGCAGTGATAGGTGAAGCTATCATTGTTGGTTCATGGCTTTAACCGACAATGATAATACACGGTCTATCACTGCCGGCTGAAGCCATGGACCGGCATTGATAGTACATCGTCTATCACTATCAGTTGAAGACATGAACCAACAGTGATAGACCATCCATCATTGCCGGCAGGGGCGAATCTATAGGGTATGTCAGGTATACACTGGCATACCCTGCAAGTCCAGCGAGTATAGAGTATAAATATTATACGTGTAGATTTGAGAAAAGAAAAAAAACATACTTGGAAAGTGAACAGCGGCCGTGTGGCGTGTGGATGCTTTCCGCTTACCACTCGCGAGGCCCATTCCACATTCCACTAGCTTCCAGGCCCACGGCCTCGCTTTGTGGTGACGCGGTCCGCGGCCATAGCCCCCACGTGACGTGACTCCAGAGAGCCCCCACACGGTGACGCCTTGGCCACACAACAAAACTTGGAGTTGGAGTCCATGGCTTGGATGTCATCCCTGCGGCCATATAGGGTGTGTTTGGTTGGGTGCCCCACCCATGGTCTGGTTCCCTGGGGCAAGTTTTTGCTTGTTTGGTTGCTTGTAGATGGGTTGGCGCCTGGCTAACTAGAGCCAGCCGTACTCTCGGAGCCTAGCCAGGTTTGAACGGCCGAATCAGCCGTTCTCCTGGAGCCAGGCTTGGCCCAGCTCCGCCCACGTGCAAGGAGGTGGGACCAGGTGCCCTAGACTGGCCACCGTATATAAGCGAGCTCTCACCGCCTGGCTAGGGTTTTAGGTAACTGTTCACTCACCTCTCCACTCTAGCGCCGCTCTCGCTTACACTCTCGCCCTCTCGCTCTCTCGCCCTCTCGCCCACACCGTCTTCCTCATTCTCGGCGTGCTGGCGGCGACAGTGAACTCCGTCGACGTTGCTGGTAAGGCCCGAAGGTCCATGGTATGAGGCCTCAATCCCTTCTTGTTTGTCTCTTTTTGTTTGCGTGTTGTTTTATGTACCTTTCAAACATAGTAAGGGCAATTTCGTTCCATTTCTTTGCTGAGCTTTAGGGTTTGGTCGATGATGCTTGCGGATCTGGGTGGCGCAACACTTGGTGTCGCAGCCGGTCCTAGAAATTGGTTAGGGTTCGAGTCATACTATTGTAAACATTCAAGTATTTGGTTACTCAAACCCTAGTTTGTTCTGATTTGTTGGTAAAGTCATTGATTTCTTTGCGGATCTGGGTGGCGCACCATGTGGTGACGTAGCTGATCCATCGATTTGGGGTCCATGTCTTACTTTTGATATCCTATTTCTTGTTTAGCGTCATGGATCGTGAAACTAGGCGTCGGTAGCATATCATTAGGGGCGCAGCCTTGGTCGTAGTGGTCTCTGCCTGGATGTTTGTTAGATTCAGGCGAATGTTGACCTCTACAAGAGGAATTACTTATGGACCTATGACTGCCAGAGACCAAGTAAGGGCCAACAACCTTAGGTTCATCTACCATAGCGATGATCGTCGTTGTGTCGAGCTTCTTAGGATGAGGAGAGCCCCCTTCTTCCAGCTCTACGATTTGTTCCGCAACAGGGCATTGCTCAAGGACAGCATCAACAGCAACATTGAAGAACAAGTTGCAATGTTTCTGCTAGTTGTAGGCCATAACTAGAGATTCAGGGTTATCGAACCCCTCTTTAGACGTTCTTTGGAAACCATCAGCAGATACTTTTAGGAAGTCCTATATGTAGTAGGTGAATTAAGGAATGAGATGATTGTGCCACCATCTAGTGCAGTCCACCCGAAAATAAACAACAGCAGGAAGTGGAACCCATTCTTCAAAGTTGGAGTTCTTTGCTTCACCTAAGTTCATACTTCATTGTAGGATGTCCTTGTTCATATACTTTCTTATTTCTCTAGGATTGTGTGGGTGCAATTCATGGAACTCATGTGATTGCACGAGTTCCTAAAAGGCACAGGGCTGCTTTCATGGGGAGAAACACACAACCACCTAGAATGTCCTAGCAGCCGTGGATTTTGATCTGAGATTCACTTATGTGTTGGTGGGTTGGGAAGGATCTGCTCATGACGCTCGCATATTGGTTGATGGCTTGGAAAGGGATGATGTTCTTAGGGTTCCACAAGGTATAAGCATCTGGCTTAATCTACCAGCCATGGTCCTTTATGTCCTTGTTCAAAGTTCTAATTTTTCTCCTCTTTCATTCTGTCTAGGGAAGTTTTTTCTTGTAGATGTTAGGTATGCTGTCAGACTTGGGTTCCTTCCACCCTACCGAGGCACAAGATACCACCTTAGGGAGTATGATGCTAGAAGCCCACAAAATCCAAGAGAGCTCTTCAACCTAAGGCATTCTTCCTTGAGGGTTACAGTTGAAAGGGCATTTGGGGCATTGAAGAATAGGTTCAGGATATTATACAACAAGCCTTTCCATCCTTGCAAAACCCAAGTGAAGCTAGTATTAGCCTGTTGTATCCTCCATAACTAGATACTTAGGTTTGGCCATGATGTTGTTCCACTTGAGTCTGAAAGGGAGGCCAATCCAACAAATCAGGCTGGACCTCAAGACAATGTCATTGATAACAATGCTTGGGCTGACAAGAGAGATGAAAGGGCCCAATAGATGTGGCAGACTAGGAATGTGCTAAATTAGTAGATGTTAAATCAACAATATGGCTTGTAGACCTAATGTACCAAAAAAATATGTAGAACTAAGACCATTCCCTAAGGCAATGATGCCTTTGTAATCTGAACTTTGTTTACCACTTTTTACATTTGCTATTTGGTCTATAATGTGAACAATGTCTGCTACCTTAGTCATTTGCTATTTGGTCTATATTCTAAACAATGTTTGCAGGAAGACAAGAAGGTAGCCCCCACATGACGTGACTCCAAGTTCTATCCTTACCTCCTCCTCCTCCTCTCTCTCTCTCTCTCTCTCTCTCTCTTATGTCTAAACTTGGAGTAGTATTATAAGTCTTTTGCACTCTTTTATGTCTAAGCTTTGAACTGACATGCGTTCAAATTTAAAACTTATCGTGTTATTGAGTGTGTACATCAAATTTTGTTATAATTCTACAATTATTACCGAATTCATAAATGGTTTTACTGAATTGTATATGAAAGTTTTTTAGCGGTATACCCTAAGATAAAATTCTATATCCGCAACGCTGCCGGTTGTTCTATTGTTACTGATTGAAGCCATGAACCAACAGTAATATCATATCGTTGTCGGTTCTAAAAGCAACCAGCAGTGATTATCATTTCTGGTGTAGTGGAAGGACCTTCGACAGACAACATTCTCGATGTTTCACAACTAGGGGATTTCGTCGGCGCTAGTGTGGCGACAGGAAGCGAGCAATTTCAGTGGAGATCACGAATAGGGAGCAGAGAGAGAGAGAGAGAGGAGGAAAGGACATGCGTGACTCGATATTTGAACAATTGTACTCCTACCACTTGAAGCACGTTGCCCATAGTAACTGACTACTGGAATACGAGGTATGTTATCCTGACAAGACAGAGTACAATGTAAGCCGCTACCGGCGCGTGCTGCTCCATCCACCGTTCAGATCTTCACCCACGCATTTGGCGACGGGCATGGTGTGCGTTTCCGCACGACTCGAGCAAAGTAGCATTTAGGTACAATTGGCAACGTTAGCAAATCTCGTCTGGACAAAGCTAAATCTGCCCTGCAGGGCACATGCCCTCACACATGGAGCCGTCGATGAGTGAACTCAGGATACGTGCCATTTTTACCTCACGAATTAATTAAATTTGAAATACACTGCATATACAGTGGAGCCCACAACATTGAATGAGACTATACAATGTGGCCTGGGTTGGCGTTGGACGGCTGATCTTATCCTCTCCTTTCCCCCCATTTGCTTTCCTCTTCATCTCTCTCCGTCCCTCCCCTACCAAGAAGCGGCGCCCGGCTTTAGATGGCGACGGTTGCGCCCGCGCCCCCAGCTCATGCATGTGCGGTTGTGCGGGGCCCAGCGTAGGCCCTTCCCTCGGCGCGCGGTCGCCCCTCCCCTCGCCCCGGTGGTGGCGCCCAAGCCGCGACCCCAGCGGTAACGTTCGTCTCCGGCGCCCCACGAGTACACCCACCGGCGGCAGTGGCCCTCCCCCGGTGCACCACGGTGGCGCCCCGGAGCACGGTCGCCCCTCCTCCCGTGGTAGTGCCTCCCTCGTCTCCATCTCCGGCAGCTCTCTCCCTCCCTCGTCTCTATCTCCAGTGGGCTTAGAAGAGAAAGGGCTCGGGGGAGGCAGGGCGGGCCAGGCGGTGGGGACGGCGGGAGGGCGGCACTAGGGTTTTGGCGGCGGTGGAGGTGACCAGGCCAGGTCGGGGAGGGGGTGTCACAGCGGTGCTCACCGGCGAGCATGGCCATGGCAGCGGTGGGAGTTGGGGGGAGTTGGAGGGCATGGTCGAGGAGGAGGAGGGCGAGGAAGGACGCGGGGAAGAAAAACAGTAACCCGCCCTCTCTTGGCGCACCGAGACAGGCGGCGGCGGCGCAATGAAGAAGAACTGTATATTTGTATACATTTCCCATGGAGCATACTATGAGCTAGAGTAAAAATGGCACACATTTCTAGTGCACCGGTCAATGGTTGCGGGCGCGGGAGCATGAGCCCTTAATTGCAGAATTTCCGTGTCTGGTCTGGCCGATTTGGAAAAATGGCCATGCTGGTTTCCCAGGACACCCAAGATTAGGTCAACCGCGAACATATCGGCCGGTCCTTATGTTTACGGCTAATTTCCGGCGACGTGGCCTTTACAAAGACATCGATGTGAAGAAGAACTGTGTATTTGTATACATTTCTCATGGAGCATACTATGAGGGCCTGTTTAGTTCCCAAAAAAATTTGCGCAGTACTCATCACATCGAATCTTGCGGCACATGCATGGAGTACTAAATGTAGACGAAAAAAAACTAATTGCACAGTTGGGTGAGAAATCGCGAGATGAAACTTTCGAACCTAATTAGTCCATAATTATACACTAATTGCCAAATACAAACGAAATGCTACAGTAGCCAAAACCCAAAAATTTTTGCATCTAAACGCGCCCTGAGCTAGAGTAAAAATGGCACACATTTCGAGTGCACCGGTCAATGGCTGCGGGCGCGGGAGCATGAGCCCTTAATTGCAGAATTTCCGTGTCTGGTCTGGCCGATTTGAAAAAATGGCCATGCTGGTTTCCCAGGACACCCAAGATTAGGTCGACCGCGAACATATCGGCCGGTCCTTATGTTTACGGCTTATTTCCTTTCTGCTAGTAGGCGGCGACGTGCCCTTTACAAAGACATCGATGTATTGTCAAGTAGTAGTATTAGAGTAGTCCTAATTCGCAGTCGTATGTATCACTAACTTGACTGGCGAGTTGCATGAAGTTGATAGGAGTGGTGTACTTGGGCGGTCCGTCGTAGAGCGCTCGGGCGATGAGAAATGCAGTCCGCTGGGACGGATGGATGCGGTCCCAGAAGACATGCTGGTCACGGTTGACGCAGAGCGTGGAGTTGCGCGTGCACCACGCCTCCGCGCCCAACCGCCCGCCCCCGCAGCACGTGCTAGCGACGTCGGTGTACCCTGACGCCCCTGGGTTCGCCAAGACGTCCTCTGTGAAGCCGAAGGAGTCGCCGAGGGAGTAGACGAGGCCCGGCAGCCTCGCGGCGAGGTCGACCAGCAGGGACCCCAGGGACTTGTTGAAGCCGGCGACGACCTGGTTGAGGATGTCCGAGCACGCGCCCGTCGGGCTGAGCACCCGCTCCCCGGGCACGCATCCGAGCATCCAGACGTTGATGACGGCGAACTTCCTGGCGCCCAGCGAGTACAGCTCCGTTACGGCGGCGGAGTAGTTGGAGATGAGGCTGGCGTAGAGCGCGGCGGCGTCCCTCCGCTGCTCTGCGTCCGACCTGTTCCGCGCACGCTCCGAAGCCGCGAAGACGTACAGGTCGTTGTTGCCCATGCCGATGAGGAAGATGGACCTAGAGATCACTGGGTTCACCGTGTTGGCCCCCGCTGCGGCGACCATCTTGGCCTTGGTGGCGCCGAAGTACTTCACCTCCTTCGACAACGGGATGGTGCTTCCGGCGTTCTGCATACATGTATATGCAAGTGCGTTGATTATTGGTATACTCTAATAACTGTGGAGTAATAAATTCCTTTCTTTTACTAGTTTGATCCGATTGAAGTCACACCTGTAGAGAAATGATTTTTGATCCACTTCGAAATTTGGCTTTAGTCCCTATATTTTTCGCGTCCGTAACTAAAGTTCCCTGCCCAATGGCTACTGCAGCAGGCTTTTGCTGTAGGGGATCTTTAGTCCCGGTTGAAGCTACGGTTGGAGCTATTAACCGGGACTAAAGGTTAACTTTTACTCCCGGTTGGTCCCTCCAACCGGGAGTAGAGTAAAAGTCTACTCCCGGCTGGAGGCTCCGTCCGGGACTAGAAAGTGACCTTTAGTCCCGGTTGATGTCACACAAGTCTGATGCTCCAAATCAGTTAAGTCCGGCTACTCTCAATCCTGGTGCCCCCTCTCTCTCTCTCATCGCTCTCTCCTGTCTCTCTCCGTAGACTTCTCTGCTCTCTCTCGCTCGCTCTCTCTCTCTCTCTCTCTCTCTCTCTCTCTCTCTCGACGCGGGCACGAGGCTACTGCGGCGCAAGCACGGCCAGGTGGGCGACCACACTCGGCTCGCGCGGATCCACCCTGGTGACCGCGCGCGAGTGCGGCCGCGTGGCTTGGGCGACCGGTGACCAGCGCGTACTAGGGCAGGCGACTGTTGCCGGCCCGCGCAGATCCACCCCAGTGACCGGCGCGAGCGCCGGCGGCCTCTTCGTCCTCACGGCTCACGGTGCTCTCACTCTTTCTCTCCCTGGCAATCTTCCCTTCGCGATGCTCTTTCTCCTCTCTCACACTCTGTCTCCTCAGATCTTTCATGGGGGCGGCGACTGGACGCACAACCTCAGATCTGGCGTTGGAGCGGCGAGGGGCGGCCTTCGGCGTGAGACCAAGCTCGCCCTACCCGGTGGCATCCGGCTCCACTCTCTCTCCCTCCTGACCTTCCTTCTCTTTATGTTGTATGAATCAATTTATGGTTGAGTTAATATGTGATGTGTTGAACCCTTCTCCTTTGTGATGTACGAATCGATTTGTGGATGATTTGATTTGTGATGTGTTGAATTTGAGATCTCGTTGTATCCCTCCTCTGTCTGTGATGTATGAATTCTTTCTTGGATGAAAGCGGCGGCGGTAGCCAGCGAGCATGGCGGTGGCGGTGGTAATGAGCATGCTGGACTAAAGAAAAAAAATTAATTTGGTCTTTAATCCAAGAAAGAAAAAAAAAGATAACATTTAGTCCCAGTTGGTAATTGTGGACCTTTAGTCCCGGACGAGAAACCGGGACTAAAAGAGGAGTCCTTTATTCCTGAATTCGTACTCCCGGTTGGAAAACCGGGACTGAAGGGATTTCTTAACTGGGAGTACAACTTGTTTCTGTACTAATGTCAAATACTTACAGTGGAGTCAAGGATCCCAGCTCCTCCAGAAGCATAGTTGATACCACTGGTGAGAGCGGTCTGGACCAGAGGGCCGGATGAGCTATGTGCCAGCGACAGATAGGGAGGAGGGCTGCACGCGAATCCCATGTTCTTGGCTGCACACATCAAAGCACTACATGTTTTCAAGATATAAACTGATAAGGCTCAGACTATCAGACGGAATCCCCTTACCGACGTAGTCGGCGATGTTGTAACCGTTGCTGAACCTTCCGGTGGGGATGGAGCCCGGGAAGTCGACGCCGTTGTAGGGGCTGTTGGCCGTGCCGACGGCTGCCCCCCGCAGGTAGTTGTTGTTGCCGACGTCCAGTATCGACGACCCGAACACGTACATCGCCGGTGGCCGACAGCCGACGGCGACGGTGCCGATGAGCGCCTGCATAGATATCACAAGGCACAGCAGAAGAATCCCCATCCTCATCGTCGATGCCTAGCTGCTTTTGCTGCTGCTTCTAGCCTCTAGCTCACTCCGTTATGTCAAGCTTGCTTTGATGCTACTGCAGTACAGCTGCCTATTTGCTAGCTGTGACTTGTGACACGTCATTCCTCAAAAAAGGGAAACAAAAACTCGTGACGTGTCAGTCGAACGAGTCAACTATGGCGAAGGGGTAGGTGTAGGTGTAGACTCGTGTAGCACGCACGCACTGACACAATCAGTATATTATCGATTGCCCGAAAGCGATGCAAGTACAAGTAGGATGAAACTGGACCTACTATGTGTAATAAACCATTTAAAAGTCCATAGCTGCTAGCGGACGCATGACTTTGGCAATTTCTATATATGTACATAAATCCTACGTAAACCTTACGTCACCGTACCTGTACGTATATGTGCTAGTACTATATATTATTTCTAACGGCTAGCGTACGTACACGTATGCTGAGAAAATAAATGTTGGCCAGTTTACAAACGGCATCACGGCATGGGCGGACTGGTGTTGTGCCCGGGTATTCCCGGGCATAGCCAATATTTTTGCCGCAAAAAACTAGTATATATAGGTATATATATATGCACGATATAGTTAAGCTTTAGTAGCGTAGTTCTCTTTATCTTGTTCATCTAAAAACAGCCCACGAAACCACGTTGCAGCCCATTACCTATATGCTCACCCGGCCATCAAGGCTGATTCTAGTCCATTCTCCTCCCTTGGTCAAGAAACTCGTGAGGCAAAGCGCAAGAGCCGCGAGCCTGACGGATGCTCCCGCGAGACGAAATCCTAGCGCCTGCCTAGCGAAGACGTTGGCCACGCCGCCCGGCAACCTTAAAAATAACCCGAGTGCGGTGTCGCCCTAAAACGCACAGTGTTGTAGCTGATCTACCACTATTGTGGCTCGAGCACTCGGGAAGCAGGCAGGTGTAGTTCAACCGCGGGTCGCCTCACACCCCACTAGATACCAGCGGCTAGGATGGCACGTTGGTCGCTATCACAGACGCACACCACTAGAGCCGTCTGGAAGCACAGGCAGATCTTGTTTCGGTATCTTTCTTAACCAAATTCAGAGGCAACAACTCAAGTTCTCCTTTGATCTTTGTTCAATTTATAATATATTTTCTTTAGCTTGGGGCTTGGGCATACCCAACTTTGAAATCCTGGGTCCGCCACTGCATCACGGCACTAGACGTGCATACTCTCTTTTTTCTAACGGCTAGAGTATATAAGGACAAAACATTTTATGTAACTTTGTTAAAGATATAGAAAACAGGAAAAACGAAAAGGAAAAAGAACCAAAGACTCCAAAAAAAAAAGGTACGACATACGATGGCCCAACTATCACAGATGACCACAGAGCACTTAGAGCCTATCATAAACAGCTTCAGATTTCCAATTCCAAGCTCCACTCTAAAATTGGCCCCTCATAATATAATTGATATATGTGTTTCACTTGCAGCTTTAGCTCCACATCTAGAAATTGAAGGTTTTGACTGGAATGGCCCCGTTTGTCCTTGTGAGACTGAATTCATATGTAATTACAAAAATACTTTTAGGTGGTTAAAAAGAAGATTCATAATATAAAGAAGAAATGATTTCGATAGAATATTTAGTCCTCCAGCGGTCGGATATGCAAGGTATAGCTGTAGTAGTCTCGCAATAGTTGGAGCAGGTGGCGAAGGTCTTCTTTTCCGAGGCATTTGGATGGCGGTCTAGTCTACGGATTAACTGCCATTAGTTGTTGCTTTTTCGTTTCCCTTTATGTTGTGTGCCTCTTAGTCAGGCAGAGGCAGAGGCTGGGAGTGTTCCAAAGTCTGTGTACCAACTCGATGTACTGCTCTTTGGTTTAATAAAGCTTCCGTTTCAAAAAAAAAGAATATTTAGGGCGCAAAACAAAAAAAACCAACGTAAGCAACCAAGGCGACTTGGTCGTCCTCTCTTGGTCTCTTGGCTACCGAACGGGAGGGGGGGGACAACGCGGGCAAGAAGACAACAGTGGTTGCGAGCAAGCGAGCGGGTTGATGGCGCGACGTGGGCCGTCAGTGAACTATGTGGCCAGTGGCTACGAGTAGACGGGTGGCGGGCTAGGGCAGTGACGGCAAGCGTGGTGTGGTGCACACGGAGGAGCCAGGAACATAGGCACGGTGGCAACGAGCACACAGGTACATGGGAGAAAGAATCAAGGGTGGTGATGTCTACAGGTGTGGTGGTGGATGGAGGATCCAGCTAAGCGGGCCCAACGATTGGGAATTGTCGAGAGGAAGGAACAAAACAAAGCAAAATGGTATCTTAGATTGTAGTAAGTTGCATGATGGGTAATTATCACCCAACTCCATAAGCAGGCCCAAAACTATGTTTCTTTGGCACCACTTGATGACCTTCACTAAATCCATGGTTTTGGCCCCTAGATCCGCATTTTTTTTCTATGGATCAGGAGTTTATGGAGTTGGAGCGTTTGACTTGAAATTGGAGTTGAGATGTATTTTGTGGATTTGAAATTTCTGAAGCTCTCCTAAACACCCTTTAAACAACAAAGCAGAGTTTAAACAGAACAAAACTACGCCCTAACAAGAGGCAAACATGTCCACCAAGAGAAAATCATAAACAAACTACGGCCTGAAAAAGACTCATACGAGAGTCTCGAACAAATGGCATTAGGACTGGGATCAGATTTACATAGAATCAGAAATAACTGCATTTAATTTCCATAATATCTTTTGTTGAATGCAAATATAGAAAATCGAATAGGTTGGATCCAGATTCACATGGGGATATCAATGGTCACAGAGATAAACTTGTAAATACTTTTAAAATCATATAAATTAAACATAGACACAACTTTGAATGGTACCTATTAAAAAATTAAATAATATATCATTGATCATATTGGTTAAATTAATATGATTGATAATATTAAAAGGGATCTTGTTTAGTTATATTAACAATATTTAAAGTTAAAGTTAACCTTTAAACATCATTTCTAATATTAAAAAATAATATAATTCATCATCAGTCATTGAGATGGATTTTAAATAGGTTCAATTGTACATCATTAATGATATTAAAATAAATATAATTAATCATAGATATATTTAATAGATAGTTTTTCTAGTATTTATTGTTCATAAAATTGAACCGGATTTGGAATCCATATTAAAAATTTTGCTTTGTGAGATATTGAGAGGGTTTCACTCAAACAAACACCTCAAAGCCGTTACAAGGAGATACTACAACAAAGTCTAGAGAGCAAATGTCATGCGAGGGACCACGATTTGCTTGAAGAGTGCGATCAAGTTTTGTGACCGAACCAGTAAATATATTACCCAGAGCGTGCTACTAGATATCAACAGGTAACCGTTGTGAGGTGCGATATAAGTTCTTTTGCCATTTTAAGTGGGACATATTTATTTCGAAATTAAAGAAAACAGGTGGCATATTGAAGGCTATACTTGTAGCAAAATAGGTAAGTAGATCAATAGATCGTATACTAACATCATCACCAATGAAGCAAGTGGCCTGGTCCAAGGGCTGGAGGAACGAAAAGGGTATAGGCCCATAGATGGATTTAGCTAGGCGGGGAAAGTAGCTACTTCCTCCGTCCCCAAATAAATCGATTCATAGAATCCGTGTAATTCAAACTATCTTAAGTTTGACTAACTTTATAGAAAAAAGTAACAACATCTACGATATAAAATAAGCACATCATGCAAATATATTTTATGGTATATCTGATGATACTAATTTGATTTCATAAATTTTGACGGTTTTTTTCTAGAAATTCAGTCAAAGTTTAAAAATTTTGACTTAAGACAACTCTAGAAATCTATTTATTCAGTAACAGAGGTAGGTAATAGTTTGTATACATGTATTGGAAACTCTCTAGCATTTGACTAGTGGCCGAAAAAAATCTATTCTGATTGCTCAAATGAAAATAATCTTGTTGGATTTGTTGTGACAATATTTTCTTTGTATAGTTTTTTTTCTCGAATACGCAAAAGATTTGCGCATCATTGTAGTTAAGAAGAAGAGTTGAACCATACAAACGACGCGCTTCTGATGAGTGCCCTAAGAGGTCTTACAGCCGTAGGCTGGACCGTCCTAGTATACAATTTTCTTTGTATAGTAATTTCACAAACTTTTTTCGAATCACAAGTAATTTCAGTCTTTTTTCGAATCACAAGTAATTTCACAATTTTTGTTATCACTTATAGCAGTAGTGAATTATTAAAGATATGAAGGCACGCCGAATCGGCGGCCTTCTAGATGTCCACGTCAGTTCTTTTTAATTTAGTGCGTTAGATTGAAATTTCACGACTCACATAAAACGTGTCTCAACCGGCCAGGTGAGGCAGTAGCAGGTGACAATGTGACATGCATGGCCGGTGCCTAATGCGTACATGCATACTGCTGGAGCCGTCCTCGCTTTGCATGTTGTCGATTTGTGTGCACCATGCCCCATCCCGTCCTCATTTCCGGTTCTCATCTCATCCCCATCCCCGTCTCCATTTCTCAGCCGCCTGCGCGGGCCGCAGAGCTCGACGCGACACGCGACCGCGTCTGCCGACCAACCACTGCGGGCTGCGGAGCATGGCCGGGGGAGACCGACGCGGGAGCCTGGCCCCGTCGTCGTCGGGGTCGGGGTCGGGGAGGCGGAAGCCGGAGCACGAGCGGTGGCCGCGGAGCCCGGCGTGGTCGCGCCCGCTGTCCGACAGTGGCGGAGGCCGTCGCCGCAGAAGAAGCTCCTCCTCCTCCTCGTCCTTGAGGTCCCTGTTCCGTTCCATCGGGGTGTGGTTCAGCTCGCTCTCCACCGCATCGTCGTCGTCGTCCGCGTCCGCGTCCATGAAGCGGAGGAGCAGGGACGCCGCGCTGGCGGGTGACGCCGGGGCCAAGAGGCCGCCTTGTAAGTCAACTCACCCCCCAGTCCGTGCCCTCCGCCATGGTCGAGCAACTTGTGCCCTTCAATCAATTGCGTGATGATGTTGATGGTCGT